ATTAAAAAAAAAATCACCAAGGACATATAAAAAAAAAATATTATAATTATAATTATAATAATAATATAATAATATTATTATTATTACTTTTATACAAATAATATATTTGTTAAATAAACTATAATACTAATTTTAATATATTAAGTATAATTATATGAGGATTGGAATATTTTTATTGGAATAGTCTTTTCTTATTAAACCCATCATCAAGATCAAGAATTTTTGGTTTATAAAACATTTTTCTATTCCTTAACCATTTTTCAAGTTTTCCAACTATTGATAATGGAACAACATTGATAATTTTTTTTTTAGTTTATTGTTTTAAGACTTTGCATTGTTATAAACTGGGCGGGATAAACTAATAATAATAATAATAATAATTCTGCAAAGTTTGGGCATATACTACATTGGGCACTTTTATAATCATAACGCAAAGACTATTATATACATAAATAAATAACCAAAAGTGTGCCAGTTTCAAATAATGGACTTGATAAATGTGAAAAACATTTCTCATTTAAATTTTTAACTTTTTCTCATAATATATTTATGGGTACTCTAAGTATATTACTTTATAAAATATGTACGATAAGTATCTAAACAATTGTCTAATCTATTGATAAATATTTTTATTGTAAAAAAATATATTATAATTTATTTATTGATATCAATATTAATAGCTGCATACCTACATTACTATTTAAATTTATTCACAGAAAGTTATTACGTATTCATATTTTTTTTATTTAATCATCTGATGAATACTTACAACGATATTTTATGAATTTTTTATTATTTAAATATAATGGTTATTATTATTTTGGTAGTTAAATATTGAATAAAACGAAATCGAATTCTATACGACAATCTCATTTTAGATAGTTAGAGAAGCCACATGATAATTTAAATTACTACAATGCTGCAAAAAATTTACGACCCAGACTTCTATATACCTATTTAAACTAATTTATGAAACATGAAGTATTTATTGAGTAACCAAACGTGTTAAAAATATGAATTTTCACTTGCCTCCTTTTCCTATTCTTCATCTATATGGACCGTCGTTGAGTGGACACAATTATTGAGTGCGTTTATATTATTGTACTAACCACGCTTTGTGCTTTGGACGTGAACAGCCTAGTTATAACCCTGAAATTCAAATAAAACATTTTTATAAAAAAAAAATCAATACAATGTACCTTAAACATATTTAATTTAAATCAACAAGTTTTCACAAACACAATTCAACACCTTGGGTTATTCTAAAATAATCTATTTCTTTACAATGTATAAGTAAATAATATTCATGTACATTGTATTGACATTGAATTTACAATTTACTTGATTAAAGTTGTGAGTAGTTCTAATGAACTGAAACTAAACTTATTTACCCAAATAATGTACTCTTATTTATTTTAGAATATACTAGTATTTTTTTACAATTATTGTTTATTAGATAAAAACTCAGAGAAATCAAGAAGTTAAAATGTTGTGAATATTAAACGTAAATACAATGAATATAATAAATATATTAATTTTTTAATCGATTTTATATATTAAATTTAATGTTATTCAATGGAAATAATACTTGACTCGAATTCAAAAATCCTTAATATTATAACAAAAAATGCGGTCATGTTTTACAAAACTCAAGTCACCATTTTTCATATAGTTTATTATACACACTTGATATACGATAATATTTTGGTTAATATGGGCTTTGAATACTCAGAAGCGACAAGTTAGTAATTAAATCAGCGGTGTTTTAAGTTTTAACGCTAATATAGAACATAATACTGTTAGTAGGTTTTATTATAAAGTTCTACACATGACTTCCTTGAAAAATATAATATACACGATATTTTGTATATGTTAATTGTAAACTTGTTATGTCTTGTTTTCTGAATATAATTTAAGACATGTATTGTCTTCATTTTAATGAATACATTATTAGATATTATTATTAGTGTAGGTATACAAGTAAATAATAATACCATAATGGAACATATTATGTAAAATATTGGTTTAATCAGATTAAACAATATACATCAGAATTTATTAAGGTATAGATATTATGACTAACTCAACTGATTAATAATATGACTACAATGCAATGCAGTTAAAAATATATAATTTTAATAATAATATCATATATCGAATTAAACTAAGATATATTTTTAGATTGTCACTGAATGAAGAAAAGTAATTGTCAACAGTTTAATGTAAATTGCTAATATTTGACTGGTTATAAGCTTTTTCAGAACTAGGTGTTTAATACATTCATTATATTTTATTAAATTGCGAAGGAGTAGGTTTTTTTGTAAACACTCAATCGTGTAGTTTTAGATTTGGGTGGTTAAGTTTCATATATACTCTGTATTAAATTTAAATATTACAAATTTTCACAATAGTCAAATAAATAATACCATTCCATTTAAATGGTATTATTACCATAAATTAATTTTTTAAATTTTTCTTACAAAATATATTTTTAACAACTTCTTATTGTGGAATATGTTTTAATATTTGAAATTATTTTTATTTATTACTAGGTCATAGTTTATGTTATAAGAAACAACGATTGAAGTTTGTGTAAGGATAATATGGATAAACAGAACAATACATTTAAAAAAAAATTAATTTTAGCAATTTTTCAAGTATCGACAATATTATTATTTATTTATAATTTGCATTCTACTGTAGAAATGTTTTTTGTTTATTAAAGTACTCAAATTCAAAATAAAATACATTCATCGCTTTGCTTAGAATCGCTAAAATGTAGTACAAACATATTTTATTAACATGTACCAAATATATAATAAGACATTTTCTGGGGTTCTTTTACCGTCTATCTATAATTTGTAAGCAATATAATATGGTATAACATAAAAACATTAAATACATTTCTCGTACAAACTATAAAAAAATTAACGATTCATTGATATTATTAAGTGTATTCATTGAATAAAATATATGAAAGTAAAGTAAATTAAAAAGCCATCATTGTCATTTAACGAAAAATGTATAAACACTCGATATATTGGTTATATTTATATAATTTACATTAAGCTTTAAATAAATTATTTATAATTTAATTTGAAATAGTAATAGTGCATGGGCCTTAGCTGTTTTTTGTCAGGGAATGAATGTATTATGGCTTCGTAAATAGCTGTATTGGAATTTATAGTTCTTCGTGTGAGTTTTTTATTCTCTGTTAAAAAGTCTGTTTCTGGATAACAACCCGAATCAATCATCAATATGTCACAGAAAGAGACAGTTTTTGGTATTTGTCTATCATTTTTAAATTTCTGTTTTACGTTATTTATTTTTATCCTCTAAATGCCAATGAAAATCTCGAAATAATATTTTATTCACCATTCTATTTTTTGAACACTATTATATTATAATATATATTGTTATTCAGAAGTAACCTGGTATTATAGACTTGGATCCAAAACAAAAAAAAACAGACTCCGGCTGCCACAGGATGTACTTCTATCAGAGAACTCAGAAAACTCCCATGGCTACAAATAACTAATATAATATTTCTTATTTTTTATATTTATGTATATAAGTTCCGTATCTATTTTCACTACTCATCAAAATCAATACTGTTTACTAACATAATATGTAGAAAATAGTTAAAATACCAGTATAATGTAAACAATGTATCAAACTTGTAATAACACGTTATAGCTTGAAACATTTTAAACATGATAAATGAAATATTAAAAAAAAAATATATTTTTACTGAACTTGTGTTTTGTTTGGTTTCACGTGGCATTAGCTTTTTAGTGTTTATAAAGTAGGTAACTATTCAAATTACCATTAAATATTAATATGTGCACAAATGAAAAATAATGATAAGTTTGTACTTTGTATTATATTATTTAAGATTGTAAATAAAGATGCAGAGAAATTGTGTATAGTTATCAAATAAAAAATTTTCATGGTAACATTTAGTAAATAATGTGGATTTATCATTATTAAATTATACACACTATGTAAAGTATAAGTATTTATTCAAATGTATAAAATATCAAGTTTATACTTTTGTAAGTACCTAGGTATGTTTATTGTTAATGTCTGTGAACTAGGGCGTTATTAATTTTAATTATACGTTTATGTTTATTATAATAATATAATCATATTATAAACTTTGATGATTTTTAAAACTTTTTATAATATTATTTTAGAGGGAGATTAATGTACGCCCCATTATATTTGCCACGGGGTGGAGTAGTCAATTTTGTGACTTACTATAGTTATATTGCTCATTGTAATGTAATTAATAAGATTATACGGACATAATATATATCCTTTAAATTATTAACAAATAAATAATGATAATATTCCTTGCCAATCACACCGTGAACTAGTACATATATAAAAATGTAGTACCGATCTTAATTCTGTTTAGTAATAACACAAAATAAAGTGTTTACTGGATATCTATTTACGAAAAGAAGAGGAAAACTTTTTTTAAAGCAAACCGCCTATGAACCGAGTGAAATTGGATTTAAACCACTCTGCAAAGGAGTCTAGAAGATTACAATAATTATTATTGCGTACATAATTTTACAGGTGTACATGGTGGTGTTCCAAGTGCGTGTTCCGTATTTTGTAAAATAATAATGCCAATGGTAATTTTATGCAGCTCGGAGTGAAATGATGCGAAACGTTTCTCTAATACTCTTGAAGAGTCATAACCGCTATAATAGTGGTTAAAATTTCAACATTTTTTCTCGCATACATAATATGTTGTGCATATGATTGGATCGATATTTTAACGGATTTTTTTTTTAAATCTTTGATATGTTCATTTCTTATTAGAAAATATACTTGAATAATATCAACTGATATCAATATAATACGCATTTAGCTTAAAGAAACAGACTGTTAAGAAATATAATTATAATTTGACACGAACATTAAATACTAGAGCTTATATAAAGTAATTATTTTTGGAAGGGTTACCTTTACAATCAAACAGTAACACATCATATATTTTGCATTTCATACAGCATAATAACAACCACAATAATATACGTAAAGGAAATAAAGTTCAATTTAGTTATGTTATTACATGCAAATGTTCAAAATAATGTTGGTTAATAAGTATTATTTTTTAAATAAAAAAAAAAATCAATAATATTGCATAATTATTTTATGTGATGTACTTAGACATATTAAATCCTGTATGAATAAAATGATAAAAACGACTATGTAATGAAAGAAAATGTGTAAATTAAATTAAATTAATCTTTAAATATTTCATCTTTATAATTACTTATATGCTAGTAATATTATAAATCTCACGCAACAAACATTTTGAATATTATAATAATGATATATATATAATATTACATAGTATAATGCAATAAGTTTTCGTAAGTACCTGAAAGTTTAAGCTTATATATTGTAGAATGTGAGTTCATATTAAGTTACGAAATGAAAAGCAGATTAGTTGATAAGTCCGGTGTGGAGCTCCCGTCTAGCTTCATTGAGATCCAGTTGGGATTTAGTCCTGTAAAAATTGCTTTTTGGTAGATCACTTGGGAAAGTGTGTAGGAAATGGGCTGTCTTCTTAAATTTGAGAACTATTAATCATCGTATTCTAAAAACGATTCTCAGAAAAGCTCAATGCATTACGGAGCTTAGCCGTAAATCAAGAAGTTTTTCATGTTTCGTTTCATTTATTTTTTCATTTACGATTTTCTTGAAATATAATGATAATTCCCTAATTTGGACACATACATCATACAACACACGTCCCATATCTGACAGGTATACATTAAAAATAATATTAAATCTACATTGTATATTTTAGATGCACAGCACAGCATCTTAATTTTTTCAGAACACGTCTGATTGAAACATTATAAGGTATATTATATATATAGGTATATGGTTTACTGCTGTACCATACTTCGACATCATCCGATGTACATAGATACTTTTTTTTTATTACTAAAAAAATGCAAGGGTTCGGGGTATTATTTCCTGATTATTATATCTTCATTTTTCGTTACAGATCATTTTTTAAACCTCGAACAAAATCATGTTAATATTATATCGGTTGATCAGCTAACCAAAGTATAATGTTAGACTAAACGACCGACTTGTTGAATAAAAATCGTGGTTAACCA